GTTCAGGAAGGACAGGCAGGGGGAAGAGGAGTTGCACTTTATGTAAAGGAGCCATATGATTGTCCAGAGCTTCCATCTGAAATTGGAGAGGCCTGTTGAAAGTCTCTGGGTTAAAGTTAGAGGGGAGAACAACAAGGGTGATGATGTGCTGTGGGTCTGCTATAGACCACCAGACCAGGAAGAAGTGGTAGATGAGGCTTTCTTCAAATAGCTAGCAGAAGTTTCACAATCACAAGCCCTGGTTCTCATGGGGGACTTCAGTCACCTTGACATCTGCTGAGACAGCAATACAGAAGTGTGCAGGCAATCCAGGAAGTTTTTGGAGAGTGTTGGGGACAAATTCCTGGTACAAATACTACAGCGGCCAACTAGGGACCATGCTCTCGACCTGCAGCTCACAAACCGGGAAGAATTGGTGGGGAATGCAGTAGTGGATGGCAACTTGGGCAGCAGTGTGGGCCCCTTACTGAATGGGGGAGGCAACCCTGTGACAGAGGAGGCAGAAAAGGCTGAAGTGCTCAATGCCTTGTTTGCTTGCCTTCACAGGCAAAGGTCAGCTCCCAGATTACTGCACCAGGCAGCACAGTTTGGGGAGGAGATGAGCAGCCAACAGTGGCATGGCAACGTGGGTTCCCTCCATCCCCTGCAGTGGCAAAAGAACAGATTAGGGACTAAGCTGGACATATACAAGTCTATGGGAGCAGATGGGATGCACCCGAGGGTGCTGAGGGAGTTGGCTGATGTGAACACAGAGCCACTGGACATCATCTTTGAAAACTCATGCCAATCAGGAATGGTCCCGGATGACTGGAAAAGGGCAAACATAGTGCCCATGTTTAAGAAAGGGAGAAAGGAGGATCCAAGGAACTACAGACCAGTCAGCCTCACCTCAGTCCCTAAAAAAATCAAGCAGCAGATCCTCAAGGAATCCATTTCTAAGCACTTGGAGAAGAAGGTGATTAGGAACAGTTGGCATGGGTTCACCAAGGGCAAGGCATTTCTGACCAACCTGATTGCTTTCTATGATGAGGTGACTGACTCTGGATGTGGAGACCAGTGGATGTGATATAGCTTGATTTTACCAAGGCTTTTGATAGGGTCTCCCACAACTTTCTTGCAGGCAAACTAAGGAAGTATGGGCTGTGTAAGGTGAATAGAAAACCGGCTGCAGCATCAGGCTCAGCGGGTAGTAATCAATGGCACAATGTCTAGTTGGCAGCTGGTATCAGGCGGAGTGCCCCAGGGGCTGGTCCTGGGGCTGGTTTTGTTCAATATCTTCATCAATGACCCAGAAGAAAGCATAGAGTGCACCCTCAGCAAGTTTGCAGATGATGCCAAGCTGTGGGAGTAGTAGATATGAAGGGTAGAGCTAGGATTCAGAGTGACCTGGGCAAATTGGAGGATTGGGCCAAAAGGAATCTCATGAGGTTCAACAAGGACAAGTGCAAAGTCCTGCACTTAGGACAGAGCAATCCCATGCACCAGTACGGACTGGGGGTTACAATGGACATACGCTGAATATGAGCCAAGTGTGCCCTTGTTGCCAAGAAGGCTAACACCATACTGGGCTGCACTGGTAGGTGTGTTGCCAGCAAGTCGAGGGAAGTGATTATTCCCCTCTGTTCAGCACTGATGAGGCCACCTCTGGAGTACTGTGTTCAACTTTGTCCCCCCCACTACAAAAAGGATGTGGGCAAATTTGAGTCCAGCTGTGGTGAGGGGGCTGGGGGATGTGACTTCTCAGAAGAGGCTGAGGGAACTGGGTTTATTTAGTCCGAAGAAGAGAAGACTGAGAGGGGGTTTAATAGCAGCCTTCAACTACCTGAAGGGAGGTTCCAAAGAGGACTGAGCTAGACTGTTTTCAGTAGAGGTGCACCAATACATTTGTCCAGTATAAGCACAGATATAAAGAAAATGGATTGTACAGGAAATGGGCCTGATTTGGCCGATAAATGCCCATGTATGCGCACAGCTGCAGCGCAGCACGTAGGCAGTGAGGAGCACAGCCTGGCAGTTTGGAGAGCTGTGTGCAGCTGGTAAGTCTGTTGTGGTGGAAAAGGATGGGGGAGGGGCATGCAGGGGCAAATCAACTCCCCCTGCGGTGAGGGAGCGGAGCAGGGGCAGGCACTGTGGGTCCTGCTGCTGTGCACACCCTGGGACGGCATGGGGGGATGCCCCCAGATCTATGCGGGCGGAGGCTGCAGCTGTGTGCTGGGGCCAGGGCTGTGCTGGGCTCTTCCCAGTGTATGGGGGCTGCACTCGGGGCAGGGGGCACTGGCGCTGGGAGGGGACTACGGGGGGCTACGGTGAAATTTGGGGTGGGTGCAGCCCTCCTTGTAACTCCTCTCCCAGTGCCACTGCCACCCACCCCGAGCACAGCCCCCACACGCCAGGAAGAGCCCGGTGCAGCCCCAGGCTGCACCTGCAGCCTGTGCAGATCCAGGGCACGCCACCCCCTCCATGCTCTGTCGGACTGCATGCAGTCGTGGGAGTTGGTCCCCACACCCCCCCCGACAAGTTACAGCTCCATCCCACGCCCTGCCCTACCCCAGCTGGGCAGCACCTTCCCCTGCCCCACTCCCTCCTTCACCACATGACCTGCCCCCCAACACCCCTTCTTCCCTTCCCCCTCCCCATCCACCACAACGGACTTACCAGCTGCACGCAGCTGTATCAGATCGGTATCAGCCAATATGCCTCCTTAAAAATCAGCTATTGGTATTGGCCCCCAAAATCTCTATCAGTGCACTCCTAGTTCTCAGTGGTGGCAGATGACAGAACAAGGCGCAATGGTCTCAAGTTGCAGCAATGGAAGTTCGGGTTAGATATTTCTCACTAGGAGGGTAGTCAAGCACTGGAACAGGCTACCCAGAGCTGTGGTGGAAGCTCCATCCTTGGAGGTTTTCCAGACCCAGATAGATCAAGCTTTGGCTGGGGTGATCTATCTGGGGACGGTCCAGCTTTGAGCAGGGATTTGGACTAGATGACCTCTAGAGTTTCTTTCCAAGCCTAATTTTTCATGATTCTATTAGTTCTCCATTGCTCTGCTTCTCTGGCAGTGCATCTCTATCCCGTCCCTATTATCAACTCCTCATAATTATCCAGTAGTGACTGATTTCCCTTTATTGGCTTTCCCCTTGGAGTAGGAAATTTAACCAGTTTACTGAAATAAGGTACCAAAAGCTACCTTGCTCTTGGATACCAGTTCCACTTTTTGTTTTGGGTCTGCACCATAGCTCCTCACTATCCCAGAGAAACTGCTTAACCCCTCTCGGAGATACCTGGGTATCTTGATAGTAAACTGCCTTACTAGTGTGTTAACATTTTGTTGTCAAAAAGCTACACAGAATTCAGTGGTGGAGGGTGACATGAATGTAGAACGCACATTGCACAGCTCTCCTTTAGTTTCCTGAAACTCACGGTATTTATGGAATAAGCAGGTCCCACTTGCTCTAGCTAATTGGTTCACTTGTCTTGAGCTTTCTAGCAGTGCTGCAGCTGGGAGAGCCTATAGTAGATGAGCATAAACATTCTCCTAGGGAACCTTTTTGGGTATGTGGGCTTGTTTTTCTTTACTGTGTAGGTTGCATCATTGAAATGCATAATTTCCCACTAGTACCCTCTCCCAAGTGCATCAGTACTACAGTTATGCCTGTTGCTGTGGGTCCAGAATTGGTCTGTACAGCTTTTCTTGGTGGTGTCCAAAACACACTGAAGTGAGGGGAGCAACACTGCTGCCGAATGGAAAACTCATGATATAATCTGAACTCAGGCGTAGAGCCACAAAGGGATTTTGGCACTGTTTGGTGTCGAGGTCTAAATCTAGATCTTTAACCTTAGAACACTTAAAATCTGCAGGAATTAGATCTGCAGGTGACTCTACAAGCTAAGTTGGGGATGGGATACTCTCACTCCAGCTTGTGGAAACTATTCCATTTCAAATATTCAGTGCAGATTCATTGGGACAATTTATTTTGTGAAGGCACAGTTGCTGCCACTGCAATGTGTGTAGGGCTCAGTTCATGAGGAATGCCTCAGGTTTGTGGATTTCTCCAAGGTCAGGCAGCAGCCAAGCTGGGAGTTTCAGGACTGTAAGTATGTTTGGACTTAAATACCATGCTCAGAGAGAGTAAAGCTCTCCTTTGTTTGAGGACTTGCCCAAATTACAGGGATAGTTAGTCATACACCCACTTTTAAAAGAAAGTATATTAAGCAATGGTTGCACTGCTGCCTGACAACAGCATTTATTCATATAATCTTAAGCCTTTCCTCAAGTCCTCTTCTTTTTTTTTTCTTCTTGTGTTCAGGGGGAGTGTGTAGTGCCCTGGGAATTAGTGCTATCATTCCACAGCCATGGCAGTAAACAAACCATCTCTTCCCTGTCCCCTTCCCCCCGACAAGCATAATACTCTGTGTAGCTAAACTCTGCACTGAAAGGCAGCCCTTTACCCCAGATAAAAATGTATGATGAAATAGTATAACACTGGCTGGTGATGCAGCCCAGTTGCTGAGGGATGTTCAGGGGGCAGAGATAACTGTACATTGTTAATTTTGATTATTTAAAAATTCTTCTTTTGGGGAAAATAAAAGGTTTCTGGAGCAAGCTACTGAAAAGTCTGGCTTTTAGTCATAACCAAGTAGCCAGCCATTAGTCAACTGTGGTGGGCATCCTTTTTTCTCATCCCTTTCACTGTTCCGGTCTTGGTAGCTGTAGTGCCATTGTCACTATCTGTGCTGTCTTGCAAGTGCTCTGATTATTTGTATTCAAGAAGCCAGCTGTATTTGCTGAACAGCAGACTCTGCTTTGTTCCAGACCTAGTAATTAAGCACTACAAATAGAGCATCAGCTATACACACTACAATTAGTCCCATGTTTTGTACTGAGACTTACAAATAGAGCCCGAAGGTTTAATGCCTTCACAGCTGAACTGCAAAAAGGTTTGAGGCAGAGTTAAGACATTGCTCTGTTATATATGGAAACGAAGGGGTTCTGGGCCCATGCAAAATTCAGCTCTTGTCCAGGGACTCTAAACCGGTGTCTCCCCCAGCTCAGCTGCAGGACAATGCTATTAAACTGTCAGTACAGGTCAGTCATTCTATCCACCAAACAGGTGAAATGCAAAACGCCCAAAATCTAGTGTATGCTTTATATAGGCAAGACTTGTCTTTGACAAGCAAATGACAATACCTGCACCAACTCATAAGGCATAATGAAAGAGATCATACTGCACAGCATTCCAGTAGTACTGGGTGCACTCTAACAGAACAGGAGGTTTGATTCAAACTCATCTTAAGCATTGAAGCTGTACACTGAGGAGTGATTCACACTTTATTTGACAACATGCTGTGTTCTTTAGTTTTGACCTTTTGGAAAGCAACAGCACTACCTGAAATGTCACTCAGGGAATGTGCTGCACGCATGACTACTCCAACCACGCACAAAAGTTCCAAAACATCACAGCAACCAGGTGTTTAACTACAAAAAACCCACAAGTGTCCTGCCAAATTCAGTCCTTGTTAAAGAATTGGATTCTATTTAATATGGGGTTTTGTACCACCCCAGTGCCATGAGTAATGTAATTAATCCACCAGATGTTTGTTCTCTCCTTTGAGGGGAGAAGCCAGGGAGGCCTTGCTTTGGTGGGTTTTCTTCTGTTAGTTTCCTACACTAGGTGAATGAATCGGGTTAATCGCATTCTGTTCAGTTACTGGAAGAATGAAATTCCTCCAAAGACCAAAGCTGGGTGAAGAGTTGGATTTATTAGCTGCTACTTTATATTCTCCCACCCACAGCTCACAATCTGTACTGTTATGTTTATTTTTGGCTGTTGCTAGGAGGCTACAGTTTTAGGTAGATGCACAGCTCCTTGTTACATTCACTTCGGGACAATAACCTTAGTCTATTTGAATAAACCCATGACAGTGTAGCCACTGCAAAATAAAGTTTTCGTTGCCCCCAGTTATTTTCAGCAGTAAGGTGGGTTAATGAGCCAGTGAGAATTTGTGCAGTGTTCTTGATAATCAAAAGGCTTAGTAAATATTTTACTTCACCAGTTTCTGGATTATTTTAGTTTTACAATTCTGATCATGCATCATAGGACTGAAACAATGACTTTTAAATAAGTATTCTGTGTGCACATTAAAATAGAAATAAAGGAACATTTAACAAGTCAGCATTTCATCATATACATCAGATAGTAGGCACAATAGATAAATCAAGCAGTTTGGTTTGATGTAGAGCATTTCCATGAAAAATGTCATGTAGACCAAAATGTAACAGTAGCTATTAGTAACCCTCCCCCACACCCTCCAACAAAAACCTTTATTGGGGGCGGTTATATGCACAAAACCAAAAACACTGATCTGTAGGAGGACAAATTAAGTTACTGTAGGCAGCAGTGCATATTAAAAACTCTTCCTGTGAAAGAATACTTCAGACCCTGTAAAAATTGGTTTTGTTAAAAATAGATGTATTTACATTTTAAGTCTGATCTAGAGAGTTTTCCCACCAGGTGTAAATTAAGATGTACAGTAACTTGGCAGATTGAGTACAATCTGAATTATATTTGTTGGTCTTTAAAAAATTGCAGCTCTTAGGCATTACAGCACCAGACTATTAAAATGGTGGGATGAATGAACTAACTCTGTTCCCTTTGCTATTGGTACATTGCCAGGATAGCTCCAGAACCCATCATCAGATTATGTTGTTGGTAATTAAAAGTGCTTTCCTGGCTCAAAAATCTGAGAGTTGTTTACCAGGGGCCAGATTCTTCTTCCAGATACTCACATGCCTCTCTACCAATGTCAGTGGGTGGGTATCTGAGGGCAGAATTCAGCTCAAGGTGTTTGCAGCTGACTGCTGCTATAGTAAATGAAAAAAAAAAAGGTAAATCCCACCTCTCAGTTCACATCAACATGCTTTAACTTTCTGAAGTCACTTATGCTACTTGCTCAGGGTACTAAAAGGCTGAATATTCTTAAGGTTAGCTCTTTGGTAAGCTTATACTCCTATAGATAATATAGCTCCTACTGCTGGCTGCTCTGTTAGGATGGCTTAGTGGTATTTTACATGGAAGGAAACGTTCATTTCACCATGCCGGTCAATATTATTTGTTTTATTTGGTTATTGTTCAACAACAAAGTTCAATACTTTCCCGGTGGAGCTTGAACTGATCCTCTGGTTCCCTTGCTTGTCGATAATAAAAGATAATGAAGAAAAAAAATCCTGCACTTTTTGATACCTAAAACCTCATTAATGCTAACAAGCTTTCAATTGCAATTTGATGGTACAATATTTCTTCATGGGCTCTGGGAGGATTAAGCTGAGGCCCCTCCAGCATCTGAAGATGGCTGTCCACAACCACCATTAAAACAAAAAAGCTAGTGTTGAAAAATGCACAGTTTACAATAAAAAAGTAGAAACTGATTCAATTCCCTTTTGTTACGAATATAAAGTTTCTTGTAAATATTTACAGTCCTTTGAGCTATTTCTATAGCAGGAAGCATTTCACAAACAAGACACAAGGTATACACTTTCAGGACTCGACAAGCCCATATCTCAGGTCATGAAGATTTTCCGTGAGATGCAAAGATTTAAAGACTGATCTCAGTGACCTTTCAAAATACTCAGACCAGGAGACAAAAGTTTCAGCAAGTTTCCTGCCAAATCATCTGGTCTAAAATAACCCAACAGACAAGAGAACAGAATACAATATCCATGAAACTCGCCAAAGGACACTGACAAGGCATTTGTGTTTTATGGGGGTCTAGAACAGGTTAGCACTGGCTGGCAAGGGACAAGCGGAAGATATAGAACTTGGCCAAAGGGAAAATTGGATGCAGTTTTGCTCTTTTCCATTTATAGAGAACATGGTTGTTCACTAAGAATGTTGCCAAAGCAGACTGAATGGTCAAAACCTGCCTTGAAAATCATTTGCTCTCTGCCTTAATTATAAGGGATAAAATTCATGGCAAAGGAGAATATGAAGCAATAAATGGCTTGCTTCAAAGAAAAAAAAAAAAAAAGAAAACGTGAGATGTTGGGTAATTGCAAAAGCTGTTTATTGCAAGTATCCTCTAGTGCCATGGCTCCTACTTCTTATGGTACGACAAGATACAGCCCCCAAACAGGCAAGAAGGATTTTGCTTTGAGTTGACAATTGTGTACTGCTGCTTTCATGCTTTCTTGGTGGTAGAGCCAAACTGGCCACTGTCCTGGGGAGATGACTGTAGGGATTGTGATACAATTTCTGAATGGGATGGTGTTTAATATTGAGAAGGCAAGAAGCAGCAACAGTGATTCTTGTCGTATAATAAGGATTGCAACTTTTCTTTGCCAAATTCCCCAGTAAATAATGGCAATTATTTTGCAGCATACTCTAAAGGCTTCAATTAATTTACAGGTGAGGTACAATACAATACTTAGCAAAGCAACCTAAAAGGAGAGAGCGGCCAGAGTGATGGTGCAGCAGCATGCAGTGAACTGCCATGCAGAGGACCTGGATAAAGAGTCTTACACCCCAGTATGTTGGAAAGAATGCACTTTGTCTTTGGACATGGGGACAGTGACTAATCAGTCAGGGGATCTCCCTTTCCCTGTCAATCAGCTGAACACAGAGCTGCATTGGGGCAGTTGTGGTAAGAGTTTTGGAAAGTGACAGGTGAACAAACTGATCTGGATTAATTCTCTGCAGTTCAGCAGAGAATACCCAGTCTCAGTGTCTTTTAAACACCAGTCACTGTGGCCTTCCAGTTTACAAGGCCATCAAGAATTCCAGTACCTTTGTTTTTTTCCAAACTATGATTTATTATCTGGTAAATGGTGCTAACCACATTAAAGACTTGGGGTGGGATCCTCATCCCATTGGATTTTCTTGATGAACTGGTATGGACTAAAGCTAAGTACAAAAAGTTCATGAACTGCTTGAAAGAGTAACAGTAGTACAAAGTGCAAAAATATGACTGCAGGAAGGTGCAGGGAAATAAACTGAGATGCAGACAATCCTTGAAAGCATCATGTGTCTCCTGACATGGAGCCAGTTCTGGCCCAATAATGCTGTTTAGATGACTGGGCAGAAGTATGGAGCGCATATACTCAGTACATTTCCTTTGTTTTTCCTGCAGATCAAGATGAGGAGTAAATTTGTCTAGCTGAGACTTATACTGAAGACTGGTCCCAGACCTAGTAGGGAAATAAAATGACAGTTACAGAAGACGTGACAATCAGGTTTTCCACGTTGAGATTTGCTACGACTGAATGTGTATTTGAAAGTGGGGTAGGACCACAGTTCTTTTCCCAGATAATTGGCTTTTCATGGTGTACACAGCTCCCCCACCCTTTGATAAAGTGAGATGCTTTCCAGTGACAAGGAGCTGTCAAGGGCTCCCAGCTTACCTTGTTAACTTGTGAGAGTGGTGTTCTTGCACCTCCCACAGGCATGCGTCCCCTGCTGCTCTCCTCAAACAACCTCCCAGGGGACCTTTCCCTGCGGGTGCTCAGAAGTCTGCCTGGAGATTTCTCCCTCTCCAGCGGTCGCCCAGGAGACTTGTCCCTGCGCAGCTCTGTCCTTCCCTCTCGGTACCGATGTGGTGTGCTTGGTTCTCGAGGGTGGCTTGGTCCTTCTGGTGGTCCTGGGCTTGATGCTACCCGCTTGGTTATGTGCTCATTATATGTGGGGGGACCTCTTTTATTAGGGCTACTGTCATTCAAAAATAATGGACGTGGACAGCTGAGCGACAAAAACCTTAAAGTTACATTTCCATTAAGAGCATAGCCACCCCAGTCCCCTCTCCTCTCCCCCAACGTTCCCACAAGAGGGTTCCATCTAGTGAAGACTGCAAATGCTTCCCTGTAATTTTAGGACAGACATACACTGTGGGCACACAATAGCACCACCCCAAAGATCTGTTACCAACTACTAGGCCTGTGCAAAGCAGCTAGTATTCACTTTGGATTCGGCCAATTAGGGGGACAGTGATTCGATTCGATGATTCGAATCACTGTCCTGAACCAATTCGGCCGAATCACCCAGGCCAGGCCCATCCCTCACCCCTCTCCCAGCCCAGCAATGGCTGCCCCACCCGCCCCAGTTCTCGGCACTTGGGGGAAAAACCCCCACTCACCAGGTGCTGCTGGGCGGGGGGAAGCTCCCTGTTGCCCCAAAAAACCCCAAAAAAAGAGAAAAAACCCTGGACTCACCGTTCCTGCCAGCAGGAAGCAATCCCCAATACCCCGTGCCACATGGGGAGCTCTTCCACGAGCCCCCACAAAGCCCTGAGGCCACTGCAGGAGCGGTGAGTCCTGCTGTTTTTCCTCAGGTTTTTTTTCCCTTAAAGGGCCAGAGCTGGGGCGGGCAGGCAGGGAAGCCATGGGGGGGCTGGGACAGCAGGGATGGGGGCTCATGCAGAGCCCCCCTTGGAGCAGCAGGGATCACCCCCCCTGCCCAGTGGGACCCGGTGAATTGGGACTTTTTTTTATCCCCCCCTACTTACCAGCTCTGAGTCCGGCTGCAGCTCCCTCCTGCAGTGGGCAGGGACTGTCTGAATCATAGAAGCTCTCCGAATCTTTTCCGAAGATTCGGAGAGCTTTGAATTGATTCGGATCTTTTAACTGGTCTCCTGATTTGATTCAGATTCGGAGATTCGGCCGCTGAATCGGGCTGAATCTCCTCTGAATCGAATCAGCACCTGAAGCTTCGCACAGCCCAACCAAATACTATACACAGGAGTCAACTGGCTGAGCGGCCATGATTAAGAATGGCATAGTCTTTTTGTATCATTTTCTCTTTAACGTGAAGTCCTGAAGAGGCTGAAATGACCATTAATGGAGAAGAAACTAGTTGGTGTGGCTGAAAGAAGGTTATAACCTCCAGTAATCAACTGTTACAAACCAATGTTTATGTTTGCTAAAATATTGCCACACAAACCTCTGCATCAAGACATTTCATGACTTCAGAAGGCTCTGGTAAATAAGGCATTCCAACTGAAGGAATAATGAAAGCTTAGCACAAATCAAGGCTCCACAGAACACCTACAAGAACTACTTTTTTTTTTTTTTTTTTTTTAGGAATACAACAGTCACTTTTGCCTATATAAAAGAACATTAAACATTAGTTTATCCCTTCTCATATATAAGATTTTAAAGGGACAGCAAAATTTATGAGATACTGAAATAAACATCTGATTACATTTGGTGTGGGTGACTAGCTTACGTTGCTTATAGGAAACATTGTTCTCTTTCCAAGTGCTCACTGTTAGTCACAATAAATACTTATCTGCCCAATTTGTCTTTCCTGTGTTGCACAGACCAAGATCTTATCACCTTATGGCAGCATCACCATAGTCCCCTACATTATTACTTTCAGCCTCATACAGCATTCGGGGATTTTGTTTTTAAAAAACATTTTAGCAACCCATGGTTTATTTTTATGTGAACATTTGTCTCTCCAGTCACAGCCGCAGTAAAGCAACACTTCTACCCCAATCTTCTACTTCCAGCCCCAGCTGTTGGATCTTAGGAATAATACCATGGCTATGGACAACTAGTTTCATTGATTCTAAAATATTTGATTTAGAAAATCTATGTTTAAAAATCAAAATGTTGTTGTTGCCTGTATATTTATCTGCAACAGAACATTTATATAGTTTTTACAAACATAGTAGGAGGGCAAAAGTCTCATGATTTCATGTGGCAAGAATTCATCCCTAATTCATCCAGTCTAATTGGACTGGTTGAAGATTCCTGAGCAACTGACTATCCCCGTTTCTGTAAAGAGGATTATTGTTTTTGACAGCAACACAGAAGCCCTTCTCAAGTTACTGATCAGCATAACCTAACCATAGAAATGGAAATCAGCATAACCCAGCCATGTACTGGTGCTAGAGGCAAACAATTTTTGTGGCAATGTTTGTGGCAAATAATTTCTGAAAGGGGTAAAAAGTGCAACATTTTCCTCTTTTTGACAACTGTTGCTATCTGAAAGCGGATGCAAAAACCATGCCATGCAAGCCCTACCCCAGGACAGATCATCTATGGTTAGAACACCTGGAAAGATTATGCCCTTGAAAAAATTTGGTTTGGATTTAGTAGTCAAAACAATTTCAGTAAGATTTATAACAACACTGAAGTACACAAGATTCCTGAACACTTGCAACCACAAGCATTGCTTCCTAGGCATGTAGAAACATCCAGAAATTTTTGAACAATAACACTGTCCAGATTATAAGACTTTTTATCTTGAAGGCATTTGTGAAGGAAGTTACCTAGGTATGGCCCAGGAAGCTCAGCTTTTCTAAGGGGAGGTCCTAGCATTCTAGCTTTAACCAGTAGAACTGTTGTATCTACTGGTTAAAGCCAGTACTGATCTCTGATGCTACTGATCTCTGTAGCATTTTTAGATGCTCCTGAGAGAAGCTGACCTTTACCCAACAAGACTGAAGCAGGGCTCTCAACACAATAATCCTGAAAAAAGCAGTCTTGATGTAATGCTGCAGGCATGGCAGACAAGAAAGAGGCAGGGCAGGAACACAGCATGTTGACTTCATACCTGCGTGTAGCAGAAGTTCCTCTGTGATGTTCATTGTTGGACTCCTTTACTAGATTTCCCTTACAGCAAATCACCCTTAATTTGTCCTGGTAGGATGAGGCCAAGTAAATAGCTCCAGATGAAATTGCTGGCCCCAGATACCGAGGATTAGGGATCTCCAAATGGGCTCGTGCAGGAGTGCTGAGTGAAGGGGAGGAAAAATATCAGTATGATCTGGTTATTGTCCATGGTTCTTAGAAGCCTACCACAACTGCATATGGACATGCTGTTCAAAGTGCTGAGCAGATAACTTACCCTAGAGAAGCACGTGCCTGAATCTCAATCACTTCAAGGGAATTGAAATGGGTCACAAACAGATAGGGTTCTCTATAGGCTGCAGCACCACCACAGTCACAGAAAAAACACAGCACAAAGAATCTACATTAGCACAAATTTGTTAGGAAACTCGCATTGTGAACACGACAGCTTCCTGCCCTCCTACAGCCCATGGTTTGCTTTGTAGCTCCTACAGCCCATGGTTTGCTTTCCTTCGCTTTGTAGCTCTCTGTTTCTATAGCATTATGGCAGGCAGAATGTCACACAGAAGGGATTAAAGAGTAGACTGAACTGAACAAAGGCCCTAAGGTTTCATTCTGATATGATAGATTCTTGAGTACTTCACAGACTTCCCAGCATCATTAAAAATGACACTGGCCCATTTAGTCACTGTCAGTGGGAACACCAACCAAATGCATCAATTTGGTTTAATCTTCCTCTATTTCTTTACACTTCAGAAGGTTTGCTATGTTTCCCGAGGCTTATAATTATCTGTTACCACAGGAAAAATTACACTAATTCTAAGAGAGTTAGAAAAACACTGAATCAGAAGCCCGCCCTTACCACCAGGATGCCTCCCCGTTATCACAGCGCCTACGATACTGAACATTCCAGAACAATGGAAATGGGCAAAACCAGCACAATTCTAGTGAGTGTTGCTCTATACCTACCAAAAGCCAAAGGCAAGCGACTCCATTTCAGGTCATCTGTCCGACTGCGTCTTCCATAGGAATCCACAAAGACACCAAATTCTGCCAAGAATCAATGTCACATGTTTGCAGCATTTACTTACTTTTTTTTTTTTTTGCAAAGAGTAGTTTGAAAAAAACAAAGCCAGAAATAAAAGCATATCCAAAGGAAAACCCTATGCAAGCCTCTAAAAAAGGAAAGGCTTATTCTGAGCTGTAAGCACAAATTTCTTATGAACAAAATCATGCCAAACTTGATCTCTTTCAACAGAGTAACTACTTGGGTGGATGAAGGGAGTGCAGGGAGCAGCAACCTATGTCCCATGACCAGATCTGGCCTGCTTAGAGATTGGATCCAGCCCATTTTACCAGTGGCGAGCTGAAACCTTATTGCAGCCTAGCTGTGGGATGCAGCCCAAATTCCACATTCTATCTACATTTTACTAAAGGCCAGCTAATCCTGCTGCTCCATGTAATCCCAATCCTGGCTCCGTGCACAGGGCTGCTCTCTCCCCCAACACCACAGCTTCAGCTCACTCTGAAAAACTAAGCAAGAAATAATTTAAAGGAGGCTGTTGGGGGAGGGAGCAAGAGATCAGCCCCTCCCAGCAGTAACAACTGGGCACAGCAAGGGATGGGCAGCCCACAGTGCCAGCTGAGTCACAAACAAGTAAAAGGTTGCCACTCCTACGTTAGACAAAACTGCTGCGGGGGGGGTATAGACAACTGACTCAATAGCCACAAGCAAAGAATGGCAGGAGGTTTTAAGTGGAGTCTGACAAGGGTCTGTCCTGCACCCAGTGCTGTTCAGTGTGTTTGTTAGCTATGTGGATGCAGGAACAGAGAGCTTCTTGAGAAAATATGCAGAGGGTAAACCAGGGAAGGACTAAACACGCTGGAGAATGGGAGCACAAGTCACAAGAATCTTGACATATCGGAAAGCTGGGCTGGGGTTAACAGGGTGAAGTTCAATGCTGACAAATGCACGGAACTACACCTTGGGAAGAATAATAAAAAATACAATACAAAATGGGTGACACCTAGCTGGATGGCAGCTCCATGGAGAAAGATCTAGGAGTCTTGATCATAGATACAATGAGTCTGCAGTGTGACGCAGCTGCACAAAAGCCAAATACAATTTTGGGCTGCATCTATAGGAACATCAGATACAATACATGGGAGGTGATACTGCCTCTTTCACAGCGCTGGTCAGGCCTCATCTAGAGTACTCCACATTTTAAAAAGGACATGGAGAACTTAGAGAGGGTCTAGTGATAGGCAACAAAATGATAAATGGTTTGGAAGGCAAGCCATAGGAGGAGACATTGAAGGAAACAGGCATGTTCAGCTTGCAGAAAAGAGACTGGAGAAGGGACATGTTCGCAGTCTTAGTCTTCAAATATCTGAAGGGCTGCCATAAAGAAGAGCACTTTATCCCTCTCACTGCAGAGAACACAATGCAATCCAATGTCTTGAACTTGCAGCAAAGTAGGTTTAGATTAGATATCAAGAAATTTCTTCACTGTTTGAACTGCGAGGCAGTGGAACTGACTGCCTAGGAAGCTGTGGAATCTCTATCATGGGAGGTGTTCAAGAAGAGACTGGATAAGCACTGGTCAGGGATGAACTAAAAGTAGCTATACCTATGATATACTATGGGCATTTCCTATTCTTCTGGGCTTTGCTGAATGCCACATGGGGCCAGGAAGGAATGTTTTTTTCACCTCCTATTGCTACAGGTGCCAGGGTTTTTCTCCACCTTCCCCAGAAGCGTTGGTTGTTGGCTGCAGCCAAGGCTAGGAATTTTGACCGGGATGTGCCATGTCTCCTGCCCAGACTTAAACCCAGAGGTTCCTGGTCAGACAATTTTGCCCCTCCACTCAGGTTTAGGGTCAGAAAGCAATTTTACCGCCTAGTCAGACTGGTAAGGACTTTAGGGGGTTTTGCTTGCCTCTTTTGAGGAGGGTGTGACATTTCATTGCATCTCTTGAGCATATTTTTAACAACTTTTGCAGCAGCAGGACACTGACCACCACTGTCCCCTTGCCTTATCTGCGGCAGGTTAGGATGCTATGCCTTGTAGCTGTATGACAGGGCTGATTTTGTAGCTTTAATAATAAGTTAACAAGGATTTGCATGGGATGGTTTCGATAGGGATGAGTCTCCCACAGGTTCCTTCCAGCTCTATTTTTCTGTGATGCTATGATTCTATGAAAAGGCCACTTTTCCTTTTCAGCTGCTATAGCCTCCAGAATAACTGACAGTGCAATTTGCAAATATTACTGGACTTAGGGATAATTTCAATACCGAAGCTGTTAGAACTTGAGTTCTCCTTACACTAATTAAGGTAAAGCTGTTACTTCTTATCCTGCTAGGAACCCAGCAACCATAAATGGCTGGAAGACATATGCTAGTCACAAAAGTGTGCCTGCTGCCCAAAGAGGCTCTTACTGCAAGTTGCAGAAGAATTACTGTTGTCATGGCTAAAGGTGCCTTGTGAATTTTTGGGATATCAATCTAAAGGCTCAACAAAAACAATTACATAAAGAAATGGCTTACAACCTTTCCTTTCTCTGCAGAAAAAGTAAAGCAATCTGTTCCTATGGAAGCTAATCAGAACAGTTCATCAACTATTTACACTAGACATACGTTGAAGGGATAACATTACAATCCCTCAGCATCTCTCATAGATATTTAGCAGCAGCAACTGACCAATAGGCACAGAGAATTGAACATAACCTGGAAGAGATCTGACCAAAGCATGTCAGCTGACTGAATCAGAAGGCTGCCATTTTAGTTTCAATATCCTGTACATCTTACTATGAAGACCAGCTACTGTTTGCTAAGCATTCTCTGGTGCTTTTAGAACTCACCATTGTCAGCAGTTAAGATTATCAAATGTTTTGGATACTGTGCATCATTCAGGTGATTCAAATGCCTAGGTTCCCCAAACCACAGTTCCTAGGTATCTCCTGATAAATCTTGTACAAAAATAAAATGGCAGGTTAGTCCAACAGCTTACCATAGACTTACCATGGAAACAAAGCAAATATTCCTCCCTCTGCCCTGTGGGGTTCACCTGTATGATACTGATTGGAAAACTGTTGGTGGAAGCAGCAAATACAGCAGAGGCTAAGGAGTGGTCATTCTTATCCAGAAACTCTGGAAGAGGGTGAAGTGAGAGACCAATGTCAGCACCAGCTTGTCTGTAAACTAATATCTCTAGCTCCCACTCAACTAGACATGTATTTGGCCCCAAACACATTTACAGTTCTGTTTAGTGTGCGTGACAAGAAGCAACTCTTACCCTCCAGTGTATACTGCTTCATCTCAATTTCATAGAACTTGTTGGTTCCAATGACAATACTGTAACTGGTCAAATGGATACAGCTGCACGGCTCTGAAGTTTCAATTTCCTGGAAGAGAAGGGCAAGTTATAGGTCAACATTAATTCCCCTATATTGCTCTTATGTATTTTTCTGAGTTCTAATACAATACATCCTTAGATATTCAAATCTCTTTAGAAATCAACTGCCAAAGCTGCTCAGATAAGTGAAGCCACAGGATCTTGTGAGGAATCAATACATGCTAATACATGATACATGATATAAAACTGCACCTAACTTAGTAGGGGTGAACTGATAAAGATTTTTTTTGTCTGATACCAATGACCAATTATTAGCCAGCCACATTGGTCAATACCGATTCTATAGCTGATTTACAGGAATGCAGCCTGGCAGCTTGGAGAGCAGCAGCCAGCCAGGAAGTCTATGGGGGGTGGGAAGGGCAGGTCGAGGCCCCCATGGTGAGGGAGGGAGTGGGGCAGGGGCAGGTGCTGCCCAGCCAGGGCAGGACAT